GCCGTGAAAAAGTCTAGCTGGCATTTAGGGTCTCCATCCACTTTAGCAGCAACTTAATGATGTCTAGACATTGGACTGTCACATACTGGGGGAGCTTGCTCTACTTGTTTTACATAATTGATCACATAAGGTACATGAAGTTGCCCCCTCTTTCTCATTACCTTCCTGCAGCTTAAGCAGGAGACAGAGGAAGGTTCAGTGTCTGGCCACCAACCTAGGATTTGAGAAACTTAAGTGCAACTCCCTGCTTGCCACCAGTTCTCCTGGGCAAACCACCTAGGGCCAGATTGTTAAAGGTAATAGGCACTTAATTTCCAGATAGGTGCTTAGTGGGATTTTTGAAAATACCTATGTTCCTAACTTCAATTGATTGGAGTCTATTTAGTGCAATGATTTCAAAGGCAATTAGAGGCTTAAGTGCTTTTGGAAACCTCAGTGATGGCCTATATACATCACGAGGCAACAAAATGTTTCAGGAGCAATGGTGCGAGTTCAGGACCAATGGTGCCTCTTCAAGGGAGCAATTCTCACTGCCCAAAATGAGGCCATTCCCACACAATCAAAGAGCAGGAAAGGAGCCAAGAGACCTGCTTGGCTCAACAGGGACATTAGAGAACTTTTGAAAAAGAAAAAAGACGCATATAATGAATGGAAAAAAAGTTCAGCAGCCAGAGAAGAGTTCACTCATGTAACCAGGGTCTGCAGGTATGAGATACGGAAAGCCAAGGGAGGCATGGAGATCAAGCTGGCATCCAAAACAAAGGACAACAAAAACACTTCTATGGGTACATGGGGAGCACGAAAAAAAATCAAGCTCCACTGTGGGACCTCTACTGACTATGGAGGGACAGCCCACAATTGACCCCCACGAATAGGCTGAGCTCCTAAATGAGTACTTCACATTGGTATTCCAGAAGGCTACTAGGAGCTGTGCATCCGTCCAGAGGCCCAGAAAGCACAAGGAAGCCTATAAACAACATGACATCAGTCCCAAACAGGTGAGGGTCCTCTTAGAACAACTGGACGTTTTCAAGTCCACTGGGCCAGATGACCTACAACCAAGAGTCCTGAAAGAACTGGCTTAACTCATAGTAGGGCCCTTGGCGAAGATATTCGAAAAGTCGTGGAACTTGGGGTGGTCCCGGGAAGAGGGCCAACATGGTGCCCATCTTTAAGAAAGGGAGGAAGGATGACCCTGCAAACTACAGACCGGTCAGTTTGACTTTGATCCTTTGAAAAACTTTTTAAAAAATTGTTAAAGAGGCCATCAACCACAAGCTTGTAAATGGCAGGGTATTAAGAAACAACCAACATGGCTTTATGGAGGGTAGATCATGCCTGACAAGCCTGGTGTCCTTTTATGACCAGGTAACTAACCAGCTGGGCAAGGGTCATGAGGTAGACATCATTTACTTAAATGCCCTTTGATTCTGTCTCCCATGAAATTGTCTCTGTCAAACTGGAGGGTACTGGCCTGGACCAGCCTACAGTGAGGTGGGTGGATAACTAGTCCCACAGAGCTGTAATCAATGGGATGGCCTCATCCTGGAGGACTGTCTCCACTGGTGTCCCACAGGGATCGGTGCTTGGACCAGTGCTTTTTAACATATTTATTAATGACTTGGATGAGGGGGTGGAATGCTCTGTGATTAAGTCTGTAGATGACACCAAGCTGTGGGGAAATGCAGACACATCTGAGGAGAGGGTAAAGATCCAGGATGACCTTGACAGACTGGTCCTGTGGGCTGATCAGAATCAGATGAGGTTCAACAGGGAAAAGTGCCGGGTCCTCGTGCATCAGCCAATGTGTTGCCAAACAGATCCAACGAGGTACTTCTTCCTCTCTACTCAGCATTGTTGAGGTCGCAACTGGAGTACTGTACCCATTTTGGGGCACTGTGCTTCAAGAAGGACGTGGATAAAAACTCAAGAGGGTGCAGAGAAGGGCCACTTGCATGATTAGGGGCTTGGAGGGCAGGCCCTATGAAGACAAACTCCGGGAGCTGGGCTTGTTCAGTCTGGGTAAGAGGAGGCTGCAAGGTGACTTGATAGCCGCCTACAAATGTCAGGGAGAACACCAGGATCTGGGGAAGCAACTCTTCAGGAAGGCAACCCTTGGGAGGATGAGGACCAATGGTCACAAACTAATAGAGGGAAGATTTAGGTTGGACATAAAGAAGAACTTCTTCTCCGTAAGGGTAACTAGAACCTAGAACACGCTCCCAGCAGAGATGGTGCAGTCCCCATCCTTGGAAGTGGTCAAGAGGAGGCTGGATAAGCACCTTGATGAGCTTGTTTGAGGTCTTTAACCTCCTGCCTATGGCAGGGGACTGGACCCGATGACCTTACAGGTCCCTTCCGGTCCATTGACTCTATGACTCAAATATCCTTATTAATCTGGGTGTCAGTTACCCAGCCATATAATGGGAAGAGAATCATAGGGTTGGGAGAGACTGCAAGGGTCATGTAGTCCAGCCCCTACATAGATACAAGATACACTGTTCCCACACAACCCCAAACAGGTGAACAACCAGACTCTTCTTGAAAACCTCCAATAAAGGAGGTTCCACAACTTACATGGGCTTGTCGTACTGCTTTTATGGTAAGAAAGTGTTTCCTGAGATTGAATCTAGATCTGCTTTGCTGCAGTTCAAACCCATCACCTCATATTCTGCCCTCTGTGACAAAGAACAGTGGCTGGTACCAGAGACCAAGAAATGCAGTGGCAGAGAGCCAGTACTCCAGTCCTTGCAAGTGATGGGCAGCATGAACAGCTGCTACAGAGTTATCTGGCTTATACATAGATAGATTATTTGAATAGCTCTGAGAGTAAAGATGGGGAAACTATGACCTATGACATTAGCACACGCTTTAATGTGTTAAGCCAAACCATTCTTAATGAGCAAGGGGGCTCCCTCATGACAACAGACTTAGGTCAGATGTGAGCAGGAGACTTCATTTGTGCCTTACTTAACAATTAGAGAATACCAAGTGTGGCCATTCCATCACGCACGCCCAAGGACAGACTTGCAACTGTGGCAGGAAAGCAGCAGGTAAGATCCTGACCCTGGGATTTGGGTTCATTCAGCAGTATAGGAGAGGGGCCCAGGGCAGGGCGGCTGCTCGCCCACATTAGGAAACTGTAAGGATATTTCAACCTTTCCCAGAACACTGAATTCTCTAGTCTGAGATGTCACTGCTACAAAACACATGCCATCCCGCCACCATAGCTGGGGGAAGATTTCACATTCCAGAGTAATTACCAGGTAGGGGCAGGGCTAGGGGAGAGCTACTGGTTAGCTACCATGTTGAGGCGTGGCCGGGGGAGAGTTGCAGGGTAATTACCATGTAAGGGCAGGATTTAGGGAGACTCGCATGTAATTACAATGCGTGGTCCCAGAGGATGAGGGTTACGAGGTAATTAGGCAGCAAATACCATCTCATTGCTGTGTAACAGCAGAGTTATTTCTGTCCTGTAAACCACAATCCAGGTTAGTTAGTAATTGCTTGGAAATCCATTAAGTGTAATTATACAGTAATCTGCAGGAGACAGTAATTAAACTAATGTTCCAAAGTATTTACTGCTTAAAACCCACTAAGTTGCATGCAAGTAGAAAGGAAACACATGATATTCCAACCTCGTCATGCAATATGCTGCCTGCAAAGTAGCCTTCTGCTACCAAGGCCAGTGAGGGATGGTAGAACAAGGGTGGATTGTACCACTGCACTTTCCAGGAAGAGTATTGACCATATTAAATCTTCAGGAACACAGCTGACTTGCTGAGGCTGACACCCCTCTTCAGGGGCAGAGTCTGCTCCAGTCCTCTTATGAGACAACTCCAGTGCTGGAGCCCTGTTGTTCTCCATACACAATAAACTCAACGTAGCATCAGTACGGAATGGTACTGGGATTGACTCTGTTATCAGGAAATATATGACATAGACCTGAGTCCAAGTGAGTGTATGAGAATCATTCAAGGCCTTGGGCAACTGCATGTTGAAGTCAGTGGGAGACTTGACAGGGGCTGGATTAGCTTCTGAACTGGGGAGACCTGCCTTCCATTCCTTCCCCACTGAGGGTATGGTACCAGATCCTCACCCACGTCCACCATCTGCAACCCCCCTCACCCCTTGCATGACCTTGGAAACCATTGCCCTGAGGCCTAGGAAGTGCTGGATGATGCTCATGGGATTTGGGGTGAGAAGTGGGTAGCAAGAGAAGCAGCTAACATAAGAGTGTAAGTTAAATAAAACTACTGTAAATGACACCTGTTCCTAGCTCCTTACAGCCTCACGTGCACCAGGGTCAGTAACCCAAATTTGGTTCGTGACTTCCAGTTCCTGTCTCAAGCTTGAGCCCAGGTGGAGGTTCCTTGGAGCCTGCTTTGCCTGCTGTTTCCCACGATAGTAGACACCATGGGCTGACATGGTCTTGCTTTCTGCTCCCAGGTGAACTGCAGGGCCAAGGGACAGAGCATCCCCAGTGGAAGGCCTTCTGCTCTGCAATTCCCTGCTCCCCGCAGCTGGTCAGAGATGGTAATAGGAGAATAGCTCCTATGCAGGGCTCATGAAATAGAAGCTGCTGCTTTGTTCCTTGTGGTATGTAAACATGCCCAGATGTGACACTGGAGGACATGAGTGAGAGCAAATCTCTAGGAGAGGGCGTCTTGGAGGTTCCAGAGATACTAAACCAGCCCCAGCACAGACAAGCTCCGGAGACTGTGGGGATGGGAAGAAAAATACTTCAGACAGCAACATCTTCAAAGCAGCCAGAGCTTGGACCAGCCTCTGCCTGACAGTGCCCCTAGCAGGGAATATTCCCGTGGTAGGAACACGTGAGGGTTTGTTGTTTCCAGACATTGGTGGCTGAATGAGTGCAGTTGGAAAATCTCATCCCTGATGCTTAATAACCAAATTTCCATCCCTTCAGAGCACGGATACGCTCCACTAAGCTCCTATGGCATCTTTAATGACTGCTTTTTCCCTCCTCTCTCTTCCAGGGACCTGAACTACAATGAGCTTTTGGAATTCCCTGTGGCCATCAGGACCTTGGGCCGACTACAGGAGCTGTGAGGCTTTCTAGTTACTTCATTTTAAAAGAATTTTCAGCGAGAGAATAGCACAAAAAGAGCCGTGTATGTGCTGATTGAGAAAAAGCAGCCATTCCAAGTCATTGTTTGCTTTCTCCAAATTCTCTCTGCAATATAAGCAGCATAGTCCTACCCAGCACAATATACCTTGCAGGCATCATTAGCATGGAAAGGGTGGCTCCAGTCATGATGCCACACTGCACAGGGCATCGGGCATTAATGGATATTGCCTCAAGTAGCAGGGATGAGACCCACAAGGCACTGGCATGCACGTGCTACCAGCGTTGCAGTAGCCTGGTGCTGTCTGGCCTCACCCTCCTTCTAGGCCTGACCAACAGTGAGAGTTAAAGCCCTCTGAAGTCAACGTGAAACTCTCTAGGGTCTGCTGAGGTTTATAACAATGAGGGCACAGCACTGTTCCTGGTGAAAGCAGCAGGGATGGGCTTTAAGATAGGATCAAGCCCAGTTTGAAGATGCATGTAGTTTCTCTGGTCATTTATGAACCTTAGGACTGTTCTGTTCATTCATTGTGATACAGGTTGGGGGTAAGCATCAGGACAGGAGGCAGCTTTTTGAGTAGATTTGAGAGGGAGGGACTGGAGACAAAAGTTTCTGATGGAAGGATTTCCTGCACAGAGAGACTATTAGAAGGATCCTCACAGCCAAAAGCAAAACACAGGTTGTAAAGTGAGGCTAATTAACTACTGGAACAGATCCCCATGGGATACAAGGGATTCACCATCACACAGAGGGTGGGCTTTGGGTTCATCACAAACTTCTGGCTCCATTATAGAGCAGATCAGACTGGAAGGTTACAAACTATACAAAAGTGGAAATTTTTTTCCCAGGCCTGGCCAAAACATGCTAAGGAAAGCCCTGAAAAATGATGGTAGCCAAGCATAGCCTGAAAAAACTGCTAACTTGGTTAACAGTCATAGAGACGTAGTGATGAGACCACCAGTACCAACTGCAGTCCGTAGCTGGGTACAGTGTTGTAAAAGAGGCTGTTCCTTTCATAGGATGCTGGGTTCCGGTCCCTTTAGCTGCATCCCATCAACTCCCAATCCATGAGTGACCCTACTGACTTCAGAGGAGCTATTCACACAAGGCTATACCCCTCAGTGTAAGGGGGGCCAGTATCAGACGCTGGGTCTGCCTTGCTGAATGCAGCAAGACTCTGGATGATGCTTCTCATACACTTTCAATGACACTACAGCCAAGACAGATGCAAAGCTTCAATCCCATCTCCTCTGAGTTTCTAAGCCTCTCTATTTTTAAAAGTGTTTTCTTTCCTACCTTCCAACTATTAATGTCCCAGGATTTCTCTTCCACCAGGGGTTTCCATAACAACAACATCAAGGCTATTCCAGAGAAGGCATTTGTTGGGAACCCGTTACTCCAAACCATGTAAGAACTGTGAAAATGATCTTCTAGTTCATTAGACTCAAGGGAGCTAGGAGCCTACTGTGTCATTTTCCGAGTGTCCTGATGATCATCTTTTCCTATGATCATAATCTGAAATTCATGCTTGGGGGATGGGCTGAAAGAACCCTACTGTATAATAAAGGCTTGGACCTTTCCCTTCCTTTCCTCAAGCCTGTGCCATGTGCCCCTAAACCCTAGCTCCAATGCCTTTGATATTGAAGAGGAAGATGAATGGATGGCAGTGACCTTGCTGTGGTGTCATGGAGAGGTTTCTCCAGGCCCTTCCCAAACATTTTTTTCACAATGCTGCTTGGAAATTTTGCCTACAACTTGTGTGCGACAGCAGTAGCTGTGCACACGGGGAGGCTGCTGGGTAGAGCTGAACCACACTAGTTCAGGAGACAATGGTCATCTATCCCCAACAGTGGGGCACAAAGGCCTAGGGACAGAATACAAGGGGCGGCTAGGCTAGCACACCCCCTTCCCACCATGACCACTTGTAGAGTTTTCAACCAGTTCTTCCCTTTGCTTCTCCCACAATGCTTTTGGGAGCAATGGCAGAGTGGCAAAAGTTCAGATTGGCTGGTTTTGGGTTTTGCTTGGGGAGATGCTGATTCTGGTGGTGGATCCAGTGGGTGACAGGTCGCTGCTGCACTCACAATGAAGAGAAAGCAGCTGTAGGGTGTTTCTCCAGGTGCAGCAGCGCTACAGAGCTCCAGCTGCCATTTGCCAGAGCTCAGCCAAAGGGTAGGCTTAGAGGGCAGGCAGGGATTATGTGGAGCATATGGGCTCATCACTGCAGTGAGAAGCTCATTCCTCACTCCAGGTGCTTTCAACTAATAATAGCATTTCCTCCAGTCTGCACAGGATAATCTAAGATGGCTATTTGTCTCCTTTGCAGACATTTTTATGGCAATCCTATCCAGTTTGTTGGACAGTCCACTTTCCAGTTCTTGCCAAAGCTGCACACCCTGTAAGTTCATCGATCAGGTCCTTAAAAAGGTAACCGAGCTTGCACTGGAACCCTGGGGGCCAGCAGAGAGTAGGTGCCTCCTTCCTGCCGCTGCTGTCATCGTTCTTGCGAACTTGACAGTGCCCTCACTAGGCAACTCAGTGCAGCTTTTCTAGCCCAGACCACCAATGCTAAATGAGCCCCATGTCTTTAGGCCACGTGGTGCAAATGCCTTTTAATAAAGGACAGCTATTGAGAGGGCCCCCTCTTCTCACTGATCACCTGGCTGTCAGGCTCCCAGTGCCTATACCTCTCGTCTCACTGGATAAATACCATTCTTACCTGCTGTAGATAAGCTTCCCACCAGGGCCCCAGCTGAGCTGCAAATACCTAATGACTAACTGAATCTCTTGGGCCTAGCTGTGCACCATTATGCAGCACTGCCCATTTGAGCAGTTGCAATACTATTGACAGGACCACTGAAGCAAGCATGTTTCCTCTTGGGCAAAGGGATGATATAACAGATCCACAATATTGTATTATACTGTGATTGCCTCCCTGCAATGGCATGTTAACAAGAGCAGTAGCTCCAGGCTTGGACCCCAGGGGGTACTCATCCCGGTCTGCACTCTGGCTGCACAGGGCAAAGCTAGATGTCAGTGTGTTTGGGAGAAGGTGGATTCAGAAGCTCCAGCAGCTGGCCATTGCTGCTTTCAGCTGCTCTGGCCACATCTCATACCTTGTCCCTGAGCTTGTCCTTATTTCTCTCCAGGTCCCTAAATGGAGCAACAGACATCAGAGAATTCCCAGACCTTAAAGGAACTACCAGCCTAGAAATTTTGTGAGTTTGCCTGCGACCATGTTCCTTGTGCTGTTCCTTCTCTAAGGGGTTCCAGGCTTGTGAAGAGCCTCAGTGAAGACCAGGTTTCCTCTGCTATGCAGTGACTTAAAGCCATGTGAGGCTCTGCTGCATATCACTGAGCTCCTCTCTAAACCATTTTGCTTCTGCATCTGCTCCAAATAGCTTGTCTGCTTGCCTCCATGCTCTCAGAGCGCTCTCTATTCCCCTCTCATTAATCAGGTCTCATGGGCACCCCCAACCCACTTGGCCTAGAAACCCCCCTACAGCAGGGACCTTCAGAAATTATATTCCACCTCCATCCAGTCAGGGCCAGTGCTGCTGCCTCATTGCCAGGGAGCTGCACTGACAGTTGCTGCCTAGAAAGCCATAATTTGGGGGCCGAAAAAAACCCCAAAAGGCAGAAAATCTGCCATGTTTGGAGCTCACTGACCTTATGATCAAGTCCTCCAATAACTGGTTTGGCTCAGCTCTGACCATAAGACCTGCCCGTCCCCCAACCCTACTTAGTGCAGTTGGGAGTCCCAATTCCCAAGGGCAAGCCTTCCCAGGAACATGCTGGCCACGGCTCGCCTGCTGGCACATCCTGTGAGGTCAGGACCTCATGTCAGACTCTTCAGTCCAAGACCCTCGCAGTCACAGGATAGGATTGGTGATCTCCCTGCTGACTCTATGAAACCTCTTGGAATTGCTGAAGGACACTGTAGTCCCTCATAGCAGCTCTAATAGCGCTTAAGGCTCTCCCAGCCTTGCCATCTTCCTGGCAGGAAAACCAGGTTACTGGGAATGTCTTTATCAGTGCAGTGGCACTATCCTCCTTTTTGCACAGTCTCCAAGATCATATGCTAGCTTTGCCTATGACAAGGCAGTGCCACTGCCTGCTCCCCCGTGCCACCTCCTACTGCACTTCTCCAAACACCCAGCAGCCATTGCCACCTTCTTGCCAAGTCACCTTCAGTTTCTGTGATGCTTTCCTTCTTGTGCTTGCTCTGTCCTCTCCTGCCTGGCACTGGAAGACAGGGCTGGGGCAGTGACAGGCTCCCTACATGCCCACTTCTCAGTAATACCAGCCATTATCTCTTGTCTCCATTCCCAGGACCTTGACCCGGGCAGGGATCCATTTGCTTCCCAGAGGGATGTGCCAGCAACTACCCAGCCTCCGAGTCCTGTGAGTAACAAATGTTCCCCCCATCCTGCTTGGTCCTTGGAGAGGTGGCATGCACGAGAGTGCCCAGGGTCCTGGCTGGACCCTTCCCAGGGCCCTGGGCACACAGGCAGCTCTCTCTCTCTCATGCTGGGACAAGTGGCCTGTAGCAGCCCAGCACACTTGTCCCAGCTGTTTCAGGTGCATACTGGGAAGGACAATGCTCAGCTGCCAGAGAACAAACCAGAGCACCACAACCAGCTCAGTTACAAAAGAAGATTAAAAGGGACTGGGATAAGTTTATGGAGGGGACAGGATGACAGAAAGAGGAGTGTGATGTGTGAAGTTCTTGCTGGTCAGGTCAGCATTGAGGAGGGGGTTAGGTGGGCAGAGTTTGCCTTCCTTTTTAGTTGGAGCGTGATCTTCTTCCTTGGGTCTTTCAAATGCACATTAACAAGCCTTGCAGCAGCAGGGCATTGACCGTCCCTTTGTCCCCCTACTTTACCTGTGATAGTTTAGGGCAGGGGTGGGCAATTATTTTGGGTGAAGGGCTGCTTACTGAGTTTTGGCAAGCCATCGAGGGCCACATGATAGGCAGCCAGGGGCAGATAAATATTAATTTTCTAAATGTTTTAGGGGCCCCGCGGGCCAGTTAGAATGGCCTGGTGGGCTGCATCCAGCCTCCAGGCCGCATTTTGCCCGCCCCTGGTTTAGGGTGTTCTTGGCACTTTGTGCAATGTGCCTTGTGGTTGTGTGACAGGGTGGATTGTGCAGCTTTAGGAACAGGTTAGACGGACTTGTATGGGATGGTTTAAACAGGGATGATCCTGTCTGGAGTAGGGTGATGGACTAGGTGGCTTCCAGAGATCCCTTCTAGCACTACTTTTCTATGATTCTGCAATTCTCGCATGCAGAATACTAACTACCCAGGCAGTTCTCATCACAATCACAGCTGCCCTGGTCTTCGATTAACATCCTCCTCCACAGGAGCCACCACTAGGCTCAGAAGCAAGAGCTGATACACATGTGTGAGCTTCTTGTCTCCCCACTCTGTACTTTTATGCATCATTCACCCCACTGGACAGCAAGAGTAGAAGGGTACTGCCAAGGCAGAATGGCAGCTTTATACAGGTGTGAATGTCATACCACGTGCAGGACAGAGGGGTCTTGCACAGGGGATTGCCCCCATACAAGGCCAGAGCCAACCCCTCTCCCCAGGATCCATCAAGCACAAGTTATGGGGAAGGGAGATTCTGTTGTGCACCTACAACACAGCTATGGCTATTAGGGGGTCCCCTTGGTTCACAGTGGGCCTAATTTCTCTCTCACTCACGCTAGTGTGAACAAGTCTCTTGGGCCTGGACCCCCTCCCGCCCCTACCCCCCCAAATACTAATCCTGGTGTAAATCAGGACTCCACTAGTGTCAACAGAGTGATGCCAGTATCAATGGGAGGGGGAGTCCCTCAACCTTTCCTTTTGTCAAACATGTTTGCCATGAGAGCTTGTTGGGACATGTCTCCCTCCTCCTATCCCTGCCCCTACAGAGCTTCTGGGCAAAAAAAGTGAAAACTGAAAAATGTCAGCAGCAGACTGGATGGGAGCATCCTGCCAAGGGGCCTTACAGGAACTGGGGTGCCAAGGGCTCATCTTCCCATTCTCATCAATGGGCAAAGATCTCTGACTGGACTATATCTGCTGTGATGCAGCAGGAACTCAGTCCTTCCCAAGCTCCTGCACTCAGTGTTAGGCTTTTGGGCCCAGTTCACTGTGTAAGGCCATCTGCCTGGGGACATCTCCAAATCTTTGTGGTGTTTATCCTCAGCACCCTTATCCCAGCAGGCAGGGAAGGGCTGTTATCACTGTTTCACACCTCAGGGTCCAAGGCAGAGAACAGTTAAAAGTCTTCTTTAAGATCACACAGGAAGCCTGTAGGTGAGCTGGGAATCATGTCCTCTAGGCAGAAGGAGTCTTGGGCTCTGCCACTGACTATGTGTCCTTGGACAAGTCGCATAACTTGCCTGTGCCCTGGTTTCCTCACCTGTACATGCCTACAGATATTAACTACACACCCTATTTAGGTGCTTTAAGATCCTCATATAGAAGGTATCAGAGAAGTATAAAGAATAAGTAGTAAGGATGTTCCTGGGGGGTTGGCAGTGGCAAGAAACACTGCTCAGCTCAGGGCAGGCTGCAGATGAAAGATCAAGGGCTTCAAGCAGTCATTTTTTGAACAACATCTCCATATGTAGGAGATGTCCCCACAAGTAGAGACAGCCCATATCAGTTCCCAGTGTACCCTGCCCTCGACCTGGGGAGGAAGCTAGGAGAGTGCCAGAGATGGGCAAGCAAGAGAAATCAGACTGGTGGTGCAGATTGACAAGTGCAGTCCCGGGAAGAAGGACAGGCACACAGCTGCACTAAAACCTCCCCAGGCATCAGAAACTGGTTTGCTCCTGAGGGCTGCAAATCCACGTACAGGTCCTGGAGGGGAGCCTTGACATGCATAACTGGTCTGCGTATGCAGACACAAGGCTTGATGTAGGCAAGGAAGCATTAGCAGATTTTGCAGCTGTCTCTGGTGCTAAGGCAGGGGCTGGATGGAGCGGGCTTTGTGATCCTGACCCTAAAAAAGCAGATTCTAGTTGTAGCAGGAGCAGGGTTTGTCACCTATGATGGACAGAGCTGCACTGAGGCCAGATAAGCAGGTGAAATCCTGAGCACTCCATGACTAATACAAGGAAATCACTCTGTAAGGAAATGAATGAGGATGTTGGTGCCAAGTGTCAGGTGTGTACTGAACGGATATTCTTCTTCCCTGGGGTATCCCACGTTCCCCAGCTGCATGGCCTAAGGTCAGGCTGCTCCCCTCCCCAGCGCTATCTCCTTCCCAAGGGAGCTAGCTATGTATTTAATCTCCTGACATTTCTGTCATGTGCCTTCCCCAACAGTGAACTCTCTCACAACCAAATAGAAGAGCTGCCCAGTTTCCACAGGTGTCAGCGGCTAGAAGAAATGTGAGTAAAGACATTCCCTCACTCAAGGCTTGGTTTGCAGTTGGGGGCCCGCTTGGTGACAGAAATGATCTTGGCTTCAAAGTACCCCAAGGGATTGAACAAGCAATGGGAGATCCAGTTCCTAGGACATAAAAATGCAGCCAGGCCCTTGCTAGAACTTGAATGGAATAGGAATTATGGGAAGAGGGGAGTTAAAAGTTCATTTCATTCACATTGGATGCAGGACCTGTGAAGTGAGTGCAAAAGGCTTGACGTGGAGCTGAGTCTTTTCCAAAAGATGGGACTTATTAATGATTCTCATTTAGTATTTGTATTCTAGTAGTGTTTAGGAATCCCAGTAATGAACCAGGACGCCATTGTGACAAAACAAAAGACTTAAACCCGAGAGCTTCTACTTGAGAGAGTCCCGCCGTAAAAGGAAGGACTGGACTGCACTGATTTTACTTTAACCTAACTTGGAGTTTAGTTCTGGACATTCCCCATTGTCATCTATCCTGTGGTGTTAGTAGTAGGCCTGTGCGAGTCAGCAGTGATCCAATCCAGCTTCGGATCCGACCACTTCGGATGGCCGCGATCCGATCCGGAGCTCCGACCAGGTTTCCGCCTTGATCCGGCCGAAGCTTCGGAGCCGCCTCGGAGATCCGCCCATAGGGTATAATGGGGAATCAATGAACTATCTATAACTTTGTTATTTCTTGTCTGATTTGGATGAAACCTGCAGGGATGGTAGCCTCTGCTGAGAGCATGAAACCTGCCAAGTTTCAAGAATATTGGTGCAGGGGCTTGGGGGTAACAGTACCCCAAATTCTTGAAAGCCAAACTTACGTCACGTCTATGTGTTACACCACAGGGGGGTCAAAACTGCAGCAGTGGTAGCTCTTGCTGAGGCCACAAAGCCTGCCAAGTTTCAAGATCGGTGCAGGGGTTTGGGGGGAACTGCCCCTCAAGCTGCGGACAAGCAAAACTGGTGCCATGGGTGACACTGTGTGTGTTCAGGCGCAGCGGGGTGACAGCTGCAGGGATGGTGGCCCCTGCTGTGACGCCTGCCAGCTGTGGAGGAGATCGGTGCAGGGGGGTCCTGGGGCCCTGCACCCCTAGCTGCTGACGGACAAAACTCGTGCCAAGACTGTGTCTGTCCTGGGGCAGTTGATTGTCTGTATTCATTCTTTCCTCTCCTTAGCCCTGTTTTGTAGGTGCTAATTGATGCTGGTTAAGTCGTTATGTAGTAGCTAGGTCCTGTGTATTGAGCTGGGCCCCGAGTCCCTGGTCCCTGAGTGAATCATGAGCGATTGATTGGTAACTGGGAACACAGCAGCTGAGCAGCCAGGCCTGCAGCAGTGTCCCCCCTCCCCGCCCCCAGACAGACAGTCGGTCCCACAAGCACCCATGGCACCAGTTTTGCTTGTCCGCAGCTTGAGGGGCAGTTCCCCCCAAACCCCTGCACCGATCTTGAAACTTGGCAGGCTTTGTGGCCTCAGCAAGAGCTACCACTGCTGCAGTTTTGACCCCCCTGTGGTGTAACACATAGACGTGACGTAAGTTTGGCTTTCAAGAATTTGGGGTACTGTTCCCCCCAAGCCCCTGCACCAATATTCTTGAAACTTGGCAGGTCCGCTTCGGGAAGCTGAACAAGGCAGCGCTTCGACCCGGATGTGCTGCTTCGGACCCCGAAGCATCCGAAGCTTCTCCGGATCCGAAGCTCTGTCTGAAGCCTCGCACAGCCCTAGTTAGTAGGTCACTTATCACTGTGGTATCGAAGGCTAGGATTGCCAAAAGGGAGTTACACATCTGCATCCCACTGAAGTTGCCCTGTGGCTCTATAGCTGCAGATTTAGTCAAGTAATTCAGCAACTTGCCATGGAACTGTTCTCCACAATTTAAGTTTAACATACATTATGTTCCTAGCCATAGACAGATCTAGGATTTTCAAGGTGACATGCCACATCATCTGCACCCCATCACATATAATACAACACATTTTTCTCCAATTAAAAAGAAACTAGAAGCTTTACTAATGGGGTGGGGGTAGTACTATATAATCTAGCAAATTGGTGCACATTCTAATCATTACATTAGTTTTTGCTTTGATCTTAAACTGAAAAAATATAAACCTAAACACACACAACAAACTAGGCAAAAATAGACAAAAGATAGTGTCATTTGTCCTGTAAGCATCATAGTTAAATGCATTTCTCTTACTTGGAGCCATAAAAAACGAGTTCTAGCCTTCTTGCACTTTTTGGCAGGACCTCTAATACTAACTTCACTATCAGTCATTTCTATACAAGTTAATGTTTTTAGCTAGAGCTAAAAAAAAAAGAAAATTGCTGTGAAATTAAACAGAGATTATCAGGAACAGTTAACAGACAGCAAAACTACAGAAAGGATAGTTTGAATAAGGTAAGAAAGGTAGCGAAAGGGCTGGGAGACCCCTCTGGATCTCCTGAAAACAAAAGAAGCCTATAAAAGATGGCAGCTGGGAATTACCCTCAAGGAGCAGTACACAGTATGGCCCGCACCTGTAGGGATTGGATTAGAAAAACTAAGGCAGAAACCAAATACAAACTGGCAACAGAAATCAAAGACAATAAAAATTCCTTCTTTAGATATGTAGGAAACAGAAAAAAATAAAAGGAAATATAGGACCTCTGAAGAATGCAATGGGACAGCTGACAACCGACACTCAGGAGAAAACCGAACTCCCAAATGAATATTTTGTATCGATATTCCACCAGACAAAGGACATTAACTTACCAGACAGCAAGCTGGATGGACATGGTGGGGGTGATCACCCACCTATCAGTGAAGATCTTATGAGGAAATACCTAGAAAGGCTGCATATCTACAAGTCAGCAGGTCCTGATAAACTGCACCCAAGGGTGCTGAAAGAACTGGCTGACATCATCACATGACTGATGACAAAGCTATTCGGGGACTCATGGTACTCGGGTGAGGTCCCAGAAGACTGAAAGAGGGCCAATGTGGTGCCTATCTTCAAAAAAAGGAAGGAAGGTAAACCCAGGGAATTATAGGCTGACCAGTTTGACTTCAGTCCCTGGAAAAACCTATCAAAGAATCCATTATTGATAGGCTAACAGAAGGCATTATTCTAAATGACAGCCAACATGGCTTTGTTGCAGACAGGTCATGCCTGACCAATCTCATCTCCTTCTATGATCAGGAAACTCGCCATCTGGATAACGGAGATGAGGTCGACATCATATACTTGGGTTTCAAAAAGGCCTTTGACTTGGTTTCCCATGATGTCCTAATGGTAAAATTGGCAGGTTGTGACCTCAACAACTTAACAGCCTGATGGCTAGGAAACTGGCTCCAAGGTCAGACCCAGAGAGTGTTAATAGAACCGAACAGACGTGGTGAAAGGTGACCAGTGGTGTCCCTTAAGGCTCAGTACTCTGACCAGTGCTTTTCAACATATTCATCAGTGATTTGGACATGGGTGTGGAAAGCATACTGGCAAAGTTTAAGGATGACACCAAGTTATGGGGAAGTGCGGTCACGCTAAAAGACAGGTTGAGGATACAGGCGGACCTGGGCAGGCTTGTAAAATGGGCGGATCTAAACTTGATGATGTTTAACACTGAGAAATGTAAACTGCTGCTACATTAATCAGCGCCACAACCAAAAGAGACCTGGGGGGTCACGATTGACCATAAAATGAACATGAGCCACCAGTGTGATGCTAGAGCCAGCAAACCGAACGACACTCTGGCATGCATCAACCAATGCATCACAAGCAAAACTAAGGATGTTATCCTCCTGCTCTAGCCAGCATTGGTGAGGCCACAGCTGGAGTACTGTGTCCAGTTCTGGGTACTGTAGTTCAAGAGGGATGTGGAGAAGCTGGAAGGAGTCCAAAGGAGGGCCACATGAATGTTTAGAGGTCTGGAGAACAGACTATATGAGGAGAGGCTGAGGGACTTGGGACTGTTCAGCCTGGAGAAGAGAAGACTCAGAGGAGACTTGGTGGCAGCCTTTAAGTATATAAGGGGTGAATATCAGAGGCTAGAACACCTGTTCACCAAGGTAACTCGGGGGAAGACTAGGAATAATGATCATAAACTAATAGAGCATCAGTTCAGATTAGACATTAGGAAAAACTTCTTTATGGTTCATATGTCCAGAGCCTGGAACAGACTCCCCCACCACCAGAGGTGGCACAATCGCCTTCCCTGGGGATCTTCAAAAGATGACAGGACGCTCACCTTGCTGAGGTCACCTGACCTCAGCAGTCTTTCCTGCCTGGAGCAGGGAGGCTGGACCTGATGATTCCTGAGGTCCCTTCCAGCCCCTAACTTCTATGAATCTATGCATAGTGGCACATCCATCCCATTAAAAAGGAGAGGCGGTCATTAACACTTGTGGAATAGAGAGAGATTAGCAGGGATTAGGGAGTTGATAAAAAGCCATGAGGTCAATTGACTCTCTCAGCTCTGCCTGAATAGAAATGCTGCTGCCTCTCCCCAGCAATTGTGGGCTCTGCCTGCTCCTTGCACTCTTTCTCACACCTTTCGTGCAAGTGGCAGTCACAGCCCCTGCTTCTAGGAAAGGGCCATTCCTGACTCCAAGACCGGAGACCTTGCAGTGCAGTGGAGCACTCCCATGCTCTGGAGTGAGGTGCAGCATAGAAGGGAGGCAGCTACCCAGAAGGGCTGGGGAACATTGGAGCCTTTTACTGTCCCAGACAAATAAAGCTTTGCAGTGTAGCGAGGGTGTGAAAGGGGACACTGTCTGAGCCCCAAAGTTGCACGCAGAAACAGAGAGGGCTCTCGGCATTAGGTTGCTTTGTTTCTTGACCCACTTACCCCTTGAAATAAGAGCAGGTTTTATGAGCTCTAATGGCAGCGACTTCCGCTGCGGCGGCACTTTGTTCTGCTGCCAGGGGGGACAGGGAGCCCGGCAGAGTAAGAATACTGCCTTAAGAACCTCTCACACCAGCCTCTCTGTCTTTTCAGTGGCCTCCAGCACAATAGGGTCCGTGAAATCAGAGCAGACACCTTTGGGCAGTTAATGGCCCTGCGCTCCATGTAAGTATAGTTTGGGCTCAGGTGGCACTGAGAATGGCTTGGATCTTTGTTGTGGGGAAAAGGGAGTCCTGGGCACACTGCCAGATTGATGCAGGGTGCCCTGACCACGCTCGCATAGTCCTAGCTGAGCTGTCTGTACCATTAGGCTTTCAGGTCCAAACCATACCTCACCCTATGAAAAGAGATAGACAACAAAACCCCCTTTGCTGTGGTGACACCTGTCCATGTAGAGAGCTGACAGGCTGGTTATGCTGATTGGTTTACCTGGCAGGGAAAATACCATGACCACTAAGGTGGTTTTCCTAGTTGCAGGGGAAAACCACTTTCTTGGCAGGGGATAGCACCTTGACTGAGGTAAGGGATAGTTAGCCTCCCACTTTCACTTCCAGTGGGAAGATCTTGGCTTTACACCAACTTTATGAAAATGGGAGACTCCTCCTTAGTTTGCTCCTGTGGCCATATGGCTGAAAGCAAGCAAAACTTGGGAGCATACAAACCCCAAGCCTCCAGGCTTGGGCCTGCATGTAGGATGCCAGCCAAAGGATTTGAAAGCATGTGAAGCCCCAGGCAGGGGTGGAGGATGTTTGCCAGTAGTAAGGCCACATATGGTTCTTGAATGACTCACAGATTTGGAATGGATTTGGCTGGATTTGGCTTGGGACACAAAACATTTTTTTTTTTTTTAAAGGATAAAGCCGATCGGCTTCTTGTGGGCCAAGATCAAGTGTAGTCACTGCACTGGTCTGCAATGTTCCCTCTAAGGTTTAGTGATTTGTGAGCAATCCTGGCTGGGAGTGTGCGGGTATCTCTGTGTGCCTGCCCCTCCCTGCTCCTGCAACAGCCTGTGGTCAGGTTGGGGTGGGTGGGGAGTCACTGGATGCAAAGCTGGTAGTGGCCGGGGGGGAGCATTGGTGCCCCCTTGCTACGGCACTGAGCATCCCCCCCAGGCTGGTGCCCGAGGGCCATGGACCCCTGCCTTCCCCCCACCCCCTGGTCGGTACGCCACTGTGTGCACGGCATTAAAAAGTTATTGTGCAGCATGCTTTTTTAATTGTGCACAGCTGTGCATGCGCACAGCTTAGAGGGAACACTCCTGGTTTGATACCCAAGCCGAAATGCAGTTAAAATGGCACCATGTAGCGAAGGGTGCATCCCTGTCTGCATGCGGACAGGACTCCTACAAGCGCCTCATAGTTAGCTTCCCGTTGGCCAGCTTCCGGTGAGAAGCTCTCGGCTGCATGCCAAGTTTATGGAAATGAGAGACTCCTCCCTGGCTTGCTCCTGTGCCCATATGGCTGAGGGCAAGCAAAACTCAGGGGCATCCAAACCCCAAATCTCTGGGCTTGGGCCTGCAAGTAGGATGTCTGCCAAAGGATTTGGAAGTATCTGAAGCATGGAGGATACTTGCTGGTAGAAGGGCCACATAAGGTTTTTGAATGATTCAAAGGATTCGGAACTGATCTGGCCAATTTGATCTGGTACACGAAAACATTTCCAAAATTTTCCTATATAATGCTGATAATGGCATTGTATGGGACTAAACTGTAGCACTGTGCAGAGAATACACATTGAACATATCTGCAACAGACAGCGCATACATGTTTCACCTCCTAACCACATCCAACACCCATAGCCCCTACATGCAAACATGCACACCACCACAGAAACTATGGACCCTGAACATGTATTACACACATCACATATTAAACACAAATGTACATGTTACAAACCACATGCTCTGCCCACACCCAGGCATACATTATACACACTACAAACCATTCATACTAACTGATCCCATTCACACACTAAGTATACCCCACCCCCCAAAAAATACACATGCTTCAGATGACACTTACCAGCTACACTTTACACACTATACATAGTCATTACACACATTAAGAAGTCACAAATTTGAACATCCTATATGCAATACCTACTAAGCACACACAGACACACATATGGACACAACTACATGCATGTTGCATCCCCTCATGCACATTTGCCTTACTTGCACGCAGGCTCTGGCCCCGACTGCCCATGCAGACACAAGGCTGAGTACCTCGCCTCACCACGTGTGCACTAGAAGGGGAAAGTGCTTGGCTCAAAAGCCTATTATTCTGACTGTAGGGGAAAGCCAAGACCTGCACAGTGCTCAAGAGTTTAGACATCTTAATGCAAAAGTATCTAAACTTGCAAAAATAGACCCAAATGGGGAAAGATCTTTCTTCAGGGCTGAATAGATGATCTTAGCTGAAAAGCCCAATGAGGGAAGCTATGCCATTGTCACACTTCCATCTAACCCAGGTGCATCAAGCTCACTTGCATCCCCAGGCCTTATCAGGACCATAGGTCTCTTTGCATGCTGGATCTGGGCCTAGTGACAGGGTGGCATGGGGATTCATGCAGCTGTTGCTGCCCTCACCCCCCCCCCCCCCCCCCCCACACCTACACTG